CTGGCCTAGGGTCAGGTCAGCATTCTCTAAGAACTCTTGTATGGTTTATTGGTGCATACAAATATTTATGGGGAATGTACCATTTTATGACACGTCCTTTTGGCTAGGGGAAAGTTGCAAACCGGTCTTCGCGAACGACTTCGCAATGTGAAAGGTGCAGATACAAAAAAACGTAATGTTCCGACTCAGATCACATTTGGCTTTCCTCTTCTTACTTGAAAGTTTCTCCACAGAGCCGAAAAATGTAGCAGCAATGTATGCAGCATAATGCAACATAATTAATGTATGCAACAAATGCTGCATAATTCTGTCATGTCGTTTGTTCGTTGTACCTACAATTGCGTCCACTGTACACGACACAGAAAAACAAACCAAATTCTTTATTTATATAAAATGTACATAATTAAAGGGAATCACTTGGAGCATCTTAACTTCCCCGACTATAAATGTAAAAATATTCAAGTATGTAGAAATATAGTTTACGAAATTTCAAAAAAACGTAAATCAAACTGTGTTATTATAGCTTTTGAACATTTTTTTCAAAGTACAATCTTTGCTGACCTAAAATTCCTCCATCAAATATTTGTTTTTCTAGTTCTTGGAGAGCAATAGATATTATGAATTTATTATAATAGCAGTAGTTGAAGAAGAATAAATAAGAGTATTGACATCTGCTGAAAATAAATTGCCAGTAGGAAAGTTCAAACAGTTAACCTCATAACTGTGTGAAGGAAATAACACGATGTCCACGGCAATACCTAGCATTCTTCAAAATGCAAATATTATTTCTCATTATTTTCTTGGATATCCAGAAAACACGACGACAATGCCACTTCTTTCAATACATTATCCGCAGTAAATTCTCAGAATGATGTAGCGTCGGCTAGTGTATCCCTACAATGAATCACACATAATAGAAAAAAATGTTAAAAAAATATTAAATTTTGTTTTCAATTATAAACTCTATACAAATAAAACAACTGCCCACCACAATGGCAAAATAAAATACTACACATAAAATATAATAAATATTAATTCAACAAACACATTTTAATCAGATTGGAATTTAACATACAATAACAGTAAGTTTTTCAAGCATTTGAACATTTGTTTTCAGAATTACTAAATGTTCCTTAATTATACTCGTATTACACAAAAAAGTCTCAGCTGACGCATTTCGTTTCAAAGATCGTTTATTTCGAAACAATGTTACTTGGCAGCAGTGCAACAATCGATCCAAATGTAAGCATGACGAAGTCCAAGTGGGAACGTAATGAGCAAGGCCATAATGGAAAGAATGACGCCTCGTCAGTGGCCTGATACTCGCTCGCAATCGCCTCCAAATCAGCGAATTTACAAAGGAATTGTTTTCCGTTCGCACGTTGCAATCGAGGATACTACATGATCCAGACTCGTATTTCCATATAGGCCGAACGACTTACTGCTCACGCCACCAAATTTCTGTTGATAAGACGTCTAAAGAATTTTTGCCCAATAAACTAGTCGTACAAAGTAAAATCGGATCAAATTTGTTCCGTGTCCACTTGGTAGATACCCCTCCATGGTCTTATGGAACGTCAAACATAAGGCGTTTCAATACCATTTAGTACAGTGCATGCCTTGCATTAGAAAAGGCACCAAGTTCACTGATGCCAGGGCAACTCTAAAGAGACTCATACATTGGTTAAGCTTATTACTAGTGGAATAAACTGATCGTCATAGGACTGAAATTCTACAGTTTATACTCTACGGGTTCAACACACAAATTAATTAAACGTACACAATGAAAAAACAGATGAAAGATTTCAACCTGTAATTTCAAACTGACGTAAGTCCGGTGCAGAATGGAAAGTTCGGAAAGAGTGTAACTTGTGTGTGTTTTGTTTGTTATTGTCGCTGCTGGATATCCAAAAGACATTTGGCTGTCTTCTGAAAACAACTTGCGTTGGACATTACTCCTTAAACAGATGTAACAATTCCTCATAGCCAAACGTTCAGGAAACGTACACAGAAGGGCTCTAAAATACGATTTTTTGAAGCAACCACAACTGTTCGACGCTTCTCTCCAACGATCTCAATGCAACTCAACGGCGCTATCCTGCTCCTGATTACGAGTATGCAATCCCGCCTAAATGTCTCCTACTCCTTACTCTAGATCGAACACTCATTTTCACTGACAAGCACTCTCGGCGTTGACTTTCTGATCCCTTCAGTGTCATGTCCGTTAGTGTATGGCGAGGATATCCTCAAAATGTCCTTAGCTTATCGTACACTAATACGACAGACATTTCGTGATAGTGTAGCGATTTATATTGTAGTGCATACGGGATGGAAACATATCGTTGACTGTTATTTTCATAGTGAACGGGGAGAAAATGGGTGTTCGAGAAAGAGCTAGGAGTAGAAAAGGGAAGAGGGATAGGAATCGTGTTGTGCAGAATTGCATACCCATCAGGCGCTAAAATTAATCTCTGGCGCCGGTAAATGTTTGGTTGCTTAACAAACTTATTTCATCTCACTCTGTCTCCCCTTAACGTTTGGCAGAATAAATTCGTTACGCCCTGTACATGCCAGGGGATAAGAATGTTGGGGTCAATATTAACTGTAATTTCACCGAAATGAGGAAGGAGGAAGTTGATAATTGAAAATACAGATAGCTTGATCAACAATAACAAGGAATTTCACGTTGAATGACATTAGCAAGGTAGTTTACCTTAAATCCAATAATATGGAAGTACAAATTCGTTAGAAACATGTGAAGTGTTTGCGATAATTCTATGTTGTCGAGCTGATCGACACGGTGACGCTACCCAGAAGTGATGAATCATTATTTCTTTTGATAGGTCAAAAAACTTACGTAGGGGTTTATTCCAATTTTACACGTTCAAGTTAAAGCGTCTAGTGTTAATCCGTATCCCGAAAGAGACCACAAACGCCGATGTTTTAACCGCGCCTGTTTATCGCGTTTCATGATTAAGAGAAAACATTCAATACTCTCAGAGAAAACAAAAGTACTAATTAAAGGTTAACATTTCAGGATACGACACCTTTTCGTGAATTAGCAAAAACAATTAAATATCTCGGAGCGCTATTAGATAAAAGATTGACATGGAAGGAATTCCAAAAATGTGAATAAATCGACTGCAAAATTATCTTAACTGTGTATTTTGATACATCCAAAGGGCACTCTTAAATACTACGAGTATCTTCTCCAACCACATAAATACCCTATACTGCTTTACCATCTCCAGCTTTTATAAGCACAGTTTGGAGAGTAAGTGATATATATATATATATATATATATATATATATATATATATAGCTCAATTTACAAACTCCAAAATTTACAAAATAAAAGTCTTTCATAGAATTTGAAAACTCCCTCGAATATTTCTAAAAGTTTAATCATTTAAATCCATACCCTTGCCTGTTGGGATACTTTCCCTTTTGGAGGAATAACTTTTCCTATTCGTCGTATAAAATCAAACCTTCCGTAAGATACGTTTACACCAGTTTTGTTTTCTCATTAACTAATTTTAAATAAATTTTAAATTATAAAGTCCCATATTTACATTGTATTTACCAATAATACCGCTTAGTTTCCGTGGAATCGAGAGCTCATCGCTCGAAGCGCCGCAAGAGGCCTATTATATTATAATTTTTCTGAGGGGCGAAGAAAACTCGACTTCACAATCGAACGAGAATGACTGAAATTAATAAATAAATTTGAAAATAAGACGCGGCAAACAACGAACACGTATCTGAAGAAATCGGGAGCCGACGGGTTTCGTTCGTGAGTTTTACCCGAAGGGGAGGCCACAAACTCTAACGTTTCTTCACGAGCAAAAAGGTGCGGGTAAAACTGCCACGTAGTCATGTTTTGTCAACTGTCTTGCCGGCGACAAATGGCCCCTGAAAGTCTGGTTTGAAAATAAAATTCTTATGGGTACCAAAGGGTACGGTATTGGAATGGAATGTGTTTTATGTCAAAAGTGCAGTGATTGCGTGGATGCTCTATGTAATTAAGTGAAGGAAGTGAATAATATGAACAGGCATTTCGCATGGCTTAACTGGATGGTGATAGCAACAGAACATTTCAGACCCTTAAATTCCGGGAACAGCGTGCCCTCCGACCGCGCAGGGAGCTATTGTTGGCGTGGGAGGGAGGGAGGGAGGGAGGGGGATGAGATCCCCAATGTCAGCGCCGGCGGAAGAGTGCAGTTTCCGGCCAGCGGCGCTTGTTCTCACGTAGGCCTCCTCCGCCGCCGCGGCCGCCGAGGCTGCAGCTCCGGGAGGAGGCGCGTGTACGCGGATGCGAGGGCCTGGGAAAAAAAGGAGGGCGGGGAGGGCGTCAGGAGGAGGAAGCATTGTTCGGCGACGGAGGGATGCGGGGGCGGGAAGCATCTACTCGTACAGACGAGGCCGTGGAACAGCGTTCCAGACAATCACAGCTCCTGCACCCTCAGGGGTGTATGTACTTTTGCATTTGTAATGCATAACAGAAGCTCATTCTTGCACTTTGGGGCAATTGCACCATCCCAATGTTCCCATAATCGCAACCACCGTAAATCAAGCTTATTTCCTACAAGTAATTACTATAAAAAATTGCAAAATGAACTTTCAGCGCCTTCTGCAAGTACATTTTCAGCTCGACAATACTCAGTACCTCTAATCTCGAATTAACGGCTATGTTTCTTTGTTTGGAATTTAAGCAGTAAGATCATTTTTCTATAAACACAAACTTATTCACTAGCTTTCTGATGAAATATGCCAATCCGAATTCAACCAATAACATAGGACAAAAATATTCACTCGCTGTGAAAAGTCACAGTTCAATTCCAGTAAAGAAACCTGCGATGTATCTCGATGTATTTCTTTCAGAACACGCAACCAAAAATATTCGCTACATAACGAAAAGCACATCTTCACGCAAACTGCTGTAAATCAGAAAGGTGCACACCATGAGAGCAAATCGCAAAAATCCGACGAGCTTTCTTACCTGTTCGCGGGACTGGATTTCTGCGAAGTAGTCGAGGCCCCGTCCGTTGATGGAGATTTTGCCCGAGCCCGCACCACGAACAGTCACTTCCGCCCATGACCGCTTGCGAAGGCAATCTGCACATAAGAGCAACGATGCAAGCCCGGATTAGCTTTGTTTGTCTCCTCTGTGCTCAGGGCCTATCGTAATCCCAAATTTCAGAGCGGACAGAAACGGTGAACAGGTTCTCAGTTTCTATCAAGCACTTCCAATGAGCCATGGGATTTCAGGACACACACGTTCCCCTCCTGGCCTACTTTCGAACACCGCTGGGGCGCACGCACACCTTGAAATGGCACCTGGTTAAGCCAGAACACGACCGCGCTTAATCCCCCCCTCCAAAAGAAAAACCTGCGTCGAGCATCCCTCCAGTCACGAACTGTCAACTCTGAAGTATGTCGAGGGAAAAGGATAATATTTCATCCCTAATATGACATTAGTCCCTCCGGGAGAGTATAAGGAACTCGAATCGATACCAGACGGACTGGTGCATCGGCTAGTTCATATTTCCTCACGAGGAGAAGGGGCTTTCCGGTGGAGGCCCGGACGCGCTCACCCCTTTCCGGTGTTTCTCGGGGGTACTCACGTTGTTACAATCAAGCAGGCGCGATGGACGCTTCGATCCCACCTACAAGTATAAAAAACTGGTGGGGAAAGGGGAACTCCCGTCCCCGCTTCTCGACCACCTCATCGCCAGTGTCACGCGAGTGCAATGCAAGGTGCTTGCGCCTCCGGTCGGCACCTTTGGGTTAGGCTCCTTGTGGTAAGTGGCTCTGGATTCAGGGGAAATAGAGAAGGGACGAATAGGTGTGTCTTAAATTTTTACTTTCCAGCATACATACGGGAAAAGTTATGAAATGCTGCGTGAAAACGGCGGATTTTCGGCAGAAAAAAAAATATTTGCCGGACCCTGTTACGAATAACGAAAAAGTGGATAAAACCAGTTCCTAATTTTTTTAAATCCTCTAATACGTGATATAGCCCAAACTCCTCTTTTGTGGGTTCTTGATACCGAAAAAACAATTGATGGCAAAACGTCCGTCCGCCAGGGAACACCACTGAATTTTCGAAAATTTCAAAAGTTTGAATATTTTCGGGATCTTTTTACAACTATATAATTAAACATTGAGATTTTTTCTTCAAACAAAATTTTTTGTCCATAATTTGTTCTTTCATAAAGGTGATGTACAGTTTTTTGAACATTTTAGTAGTTTTTGCAGGATATTGCGTACAATTTGTGCAATTTTAACAAAATTACAAAAACAAGATTTTCTCAAAAACGGTAACAACTTTTTTCTTTACATTTTTGGTAGAGATAGTGTTAAATGTACTCTATAAGATTGCATAAATGCTATGTTGTTTTATTCTTTTTTTCACAAATTACAAAAATGTCATTTTTTTGCTTGTCTCCTGTTGTTAATATTTATGTTACTAGCAATTTGTTCACATTATTGTATTTAAGAATACATGTGCTTTAAATAATGCCACATAAAGTTCCTCAAAAACTCTACTGTTTTCTGTGAAAATTAGCTCAAACTTTGCATTTTCAGATATGCTCAAATGCCATTTTCTCAAAAACGGCTCTAAATTATGTGCTAATTGCATTCTTTAATATGATGTAAAGATCATTTCAGGGTAATTTTTGTTTTTTCACAATTCACACAAATGTAATTTCTTTGAAAGATATCTCATGCCGTTATTATGCATATCTCAAGCAATTTGTAAACACTATCATGTTTGTGAGTAAAATTACTTAAAATAATTTCAAATTAAATTTTTCAAAAAATCAAAAATTTTCTGTAAGAAAGAGCATCAAATGTTGAATTTACAGTAGTGCTTAAACAAATATTTCTTAAAAATGGCTTCAAATTTTTCAATGTAAATTGCCATTTAGGATGAGGTTTTACTGTTCTATAATAATCTTAAAATAATAATTCCGCTCTACAATTCAGAAACCGAAAAATTAAGAAAATATTCCCAAAAAAATGTACTTTAGGTGGCGATAGATGGCAGCTGGCAAGAGTATGTGGCAAGTCAAAATAGCTAGCCGAGACCAAAGGAAATAGAAAACTAAATATGGTATAATCTGTGCCATTCTATAGACCACTTTTTTATTACAGTGTTAAATTTTCTTTAAAAATTGTTTCTTTCTAAACAAATATATACATTTCTTTTGTAAATAATAAACAATTACAAGTTTTTGGAGTTATTCTATGCTTCTGCAATGCAAATTTTTGCCTAAAAAGCATTTTTTCAAACCAACTTTTGAATGCTTATTGCGGCTCAACCTCTCGGAATATCCCAGTAGTTTATTAGGCAAAATATGCATAAAATTGTTTTAAGAGCTTTTACTCTCTCTCTCCAACCTAACAACAGGCATATGGCAGCTAAGCAAAGTTTTAGGAGAAGATTAAAATCATCGCAAGTCATGAATGTGCTCTGGTCAGGAGTATGTACCAAAGCGTTAGCGATCTTTGCTAAATAAACATTTGCAAATGAGTATAAAGGAAACAAAATTATAGATCTTCAAATGAACAGTGTGTTAATAGCTTAATAGAGCAAAGTAAAATTATTACTGCACACATGTATCTACTCCAGAAAACAAATAACTCAAATTAATCTTCAACACACAAACTTTATCATCTGTTAGTGGGAATGCATGGCATACCAAAACTTTCCTCAATCTTAGTGC